GTTCTGTTAGCGGTGTGGTTCTGTTAGCAGTGTGGTTCTGTTAGCAGCAAGATGATAATAACAACTGCGGCAATGGACGATGACTGCCCTCCAGAACTGGGTCCGGTAGACACAGAACATCCAGGGTTTCCCCACGGAACCAATTTGTTCCGTAGCGTTCGGTCCATGCAGGCAGATGGAGGATCATGGAGACGGCCGCCATGACAGGCCAGAGCCTGAGCCTCTGATCGGTCTCTGAAAACTTTTTTTTTCAATGTTTATTATTTATGATTGGCCAATCATCATAATTAAAACCAGTTTACACGTTTCCGCTGACGTTTTCATGCCAGGCATGGTTGCCAGATAGGAAATGAAGAAGTGTCGTACGGTTGCTTTAGAATTATTGTACTTTCACTCAAACCATTTGTGCTGAGCGAAGTGCGCTTTCTTGGAGGGAGGAGGTTCTGATGAGGAGTGTGATGTGCACGTGCACGTGCACAGAAGGAAATAAAGAGAACGTTCATGGTTTTCGAGATGAGTGTTCTTCTGGACTGGAGTTGAACAGGGAGTGCCTAAATGTTTTCAGTTATTAACCTTGAAGTTTTTGGTGCAAGACGTTCAAATGGGTAGGAGTTAAATTGTTTATAAGAATAGAAGTTGTTGTTTGTTTTGCGTGTCCGAGGCAGCGCGGAGTGATGAATCCCAGCAGGTGGAGAGAGCACCACCAGATGCAATGGCTGAGTTGATACTTCAAAAGCCTGGCTTATGGTCGATGATCATCTGAAGGATGGATGAACTTTTCCTTATTTTTTGAAGGTAACACTTTCTGATGCTGTCCATCTGCTGTAAATGTTTATTTCTCCTCCACTTGTGCACATTCCTCATTTTTTACATAATATGCTGTCGGACCTTTGTGAAAGATTGCCAAGAAGAAAAAAAAAAAAGCCCGGCTCTTTAGAAGAAAAACATAAAAACTTGGAGCGGTGTAAACATTTGGCAAACTACAGTGTGGTTAATTTGGTTTATGATGGTAAATGATGACGATCATTTTCAGGCTTGGTACCGGCAACTGACAAAATTTTGAGAAACGTGTGTGCGTGTGTACTCACTAGTGCTTCTAGATGTAAGTGATCAGAGGCAGTCACTTTCTTGTCCACGTGTGCACCGTTAAGCTGCGACAGAGCGGCTCCCTCAGCAGGTGGAGACCGAGATTCTGGGAGAAAATCCAGCACCGACGTCTCCGAGGAGCCAGCAACTGAAACAAAGTGAGGGATAACATAAAACACAACATAATAGTAGTCGCTCGCTACTTCGTGGTTCGACTTTCGCGGACTCGCTCTATCGCAGTTTGTGGACGTACAGTACTGTACGTGTTTTCCAAAAATGAATAAATCAATAAAAATAAAAAAATGCACCACCATTTTGTAGTTTTCTTTCACTAAGTTTTGCCAGTTTAAAGAACTACGTTACCCAGAAGCCATCAGTTCACTTCCCAGAAGTCAACACTGCTTCCAACCGCTGCTTGCTGCAAATGGAGGGAAAGTTTTCAACTTAATCCAGAAGTTCTGTGAGGATGAGCTCACAGAACTGTCAGGAAAGTCTCAAATAATCCTGAAGCTGAACTCATCCTTCACGTTGTATCTTCACTGCTGAGTAGCTGCAGCTGATCTGGACTCAGTGTGACCCGGATCCTGGGAGCTGCAGGCGACAGACGGCTGAGGGGTTCTGGTCGTGCGGTGCTGGTTCGGACCAGGTGGTGGACTAATTCCCTTGCCTTGCGCATGGAGTGTCGTTCCTGGAGCAGCAGCACGCGCACACCATGCTGCACTGGGACTTTTTTTCATCCATCGGGTCGGCCGGAACCGAGCTGCTGTTGTTCTGCAGAGCCCTTGTAAGTAAAATTTAGTAGCTAATATAAGTATGTTGTTAAAATTAGTAGGTTTCAGAGTTTAGAGGACTGATTTGTGGGCTTCATCGCTGCGGGGTAGGTCTGCAGAAACGAAGAGTCGGAATAAAACAGAGTTGGACCGGAACCAGAGCTGCTGCTGTTCTGCAGAGCTAGTAAGTAAAATTTAGTAATGTATGTTGTTAAAATGACATAGATTTAAGAGTTTAGAACATTGCAAGAGTGTGGAAAGAGTTTCTAAAGCCTTAATATATATATATATATATATATAAATACTAAAATAAACTACTACTACTTGTGTACATAATTTCAATCCATGGAATGTACCACATGAGATGATAATGACAATAAAGTTTACTGTACTTGAACTTGGACTACTGTATCCCTACTTCGCAGTTTTGCACATATCATGCGCGCGGGGGCGGGGGAGGGGGGGCATTGGATACGGAACCTCCACGATAAACGAGGGGCTAATGTAATGTAACGAGTAAAACAAAAAGAAATACAAAAGGAGTTGTGAAAAAGTTTTAAACCTCCCCTAACTGATGACTTCTTGTTTACACGGAGACAGATTTCCTTGTTCTCTTATGGTCAGTAGTTCCCGAGGCTTTCGGCAGGTTTGCTTCGGCTCCTCGCTTGTTCTGAGTCCATTCCTCCTACATGACCACGGCAACAAATTGTTGTTTTTTGCTAAAACTAAATGAATAAAAAAATAAGAAATGTGGGCAAAACTATCCACAGTATCTGAAATGTGACTGCTGAGCTAATTTGATCATTTGGATTGGTTTTCCAACTTTTAACGTTTAGCTACGGTTCTGCTAATTGTAGCTTTTAGCTACTTTGTTGCAGCTTTTAGTCATCGTTTTGATAATTTTAGCATTTAGATATTGTTTTTCTAATTTTGGCTTTTAGGTATTGTTTGGCTAATGTTAGATTTGGGCTTTCATTTAGTTAATTTTAGCTATACTGTTCTACTAGCTTTAGCTTTTTGCTCCTATGTTGCTAAATTTACTAATTAGTTGCTGTTTTGCTAATTATTATTTTAAGCATTTATTTTGCTATTTTAGCTTTTAGCTACTGCTTCATTTTTGTTTTGCTTATTTTGTCAATATTAATATTATATGTATTATTTGACAAATTTTAGGTTTTAGACAGTTTTGCATTTAGCTACTATTTTGTTTGTTTTAGCTTTTAGCTACTTATTTGCTAATTTTAGCTTTGAGATATTTTTGGTAATTTTTACATAATCAATATTTTCTTTTTTATAATCTTTTATCTACTGTTTTGCTAATTTGGGGTTGTAGCATTTGTTTTGACAAAATTAGCTTTTAGCTACTGTTTTGCTGGTCTTAGCATTTTTCTACTGCTAAATTTAGCTTCTGTTCTGATCGTTTTAACCTAAAGAAACCACTTTCATCTTCAGCACATTCCAATCAGAACTTACTGTTCAAGCTGCATTTTAGCAGAAATTTCTATTTCTTTAGCTGCTCTTTAGGAACCACCTTGTTAGCTTGTTAGTGCTAAAATACTATTTCATGCTGTTATTTTTTCATCAATTCAACAAAAACTGAGAACAGATTGTGTCTTTGTGACAGACGCTGGTAACAAAGTGCCTAAAGATCCAGTTTCAAACCAGCTCTGCTGAGTTTGTAACATGTCGACACAAAACTGGCTCATCCTTTGAGTTAAGGAGCCTTTTAATCCCTGAATGACTCGCATGTCAAAACTAAATGACCAAACAAACAAAAACATTATTTTGAAAATATTCAGGTAACGGACAAGAAAAGCCCGAGTGGCAGATCCACGGACTCACCTTCATCATCCTCCACCAGCTGCTGGGGACCCTCCTCCTTCCACGATCCCAGGATCACAGCATCTTCGGGCGTTTTCTCAACGTGCCCTGGTTCGGTTGTCATGGCGACAGTGGGTAGTCCTTCCTGATCAGAACTGCGGGGATCATCTTCTTCCTCTTCCTCGCTGGCAGCGTCCATTGGCTCGCTCTCCCCGAGCGGCGGCGAAGGAGGCTGCAAAGACACGTAAAGCAATAAAGTTGTGAAATTAAACGTATTATTTTATGAGGAGACGCTGAGATTAATCGACTACATCGGGAGTAAATCAATGATCCGATGTTACAACTATTAGCAGAGTATGTTGCGTTTATTCGGGGCGTTCAAAATACTTGAAGAGGCCGAGATATCAGAAATAACGAGCCGCCTGTCGTTTGTACAAACAGGACGAAAGAAGATGAGGAGAGCAAGCTGTCGCACAAAACAAAACAAAAAAAGATTATGAGGCTGTGGAGAGGGGAGGGAGAACGACAAGAAGAAAAAAGTATCCAGCGTTCCTTAAAGAAATGCGTGTTCTCCGTTCCCTTAATGCAAAACAGTCATTTTTAGGGATGCACGTTATTGGAGTTTTGGCCGATATTAAAACTTATTTGGCTGATAACCGATACCAATACCGATATTTTTGTTCCTAGACCTACATCGCTTTCTCTGCTGTGGAATTAAAATACATTATTCTGCATGGTCTTTGTCAGTTTGGCCTCCTACCAAATGCAGATGCCAAAAAAAAGAGGCTGAAAATTATGTAACATTTGAACTTGGATTATATTTAATGTCAAATGCATTCATGGTATTTACTCTCTCTAGCACAATGACAACACTCGAACAGTGCAAGTTTGTAAATTTCCACAAATCTAAAGTCAACGGCGCGTGAGGCGTCATCGCGCTATGCTGGCGCTGCAGACATCCTTGTCACTGGGTTGTCATAGAAAAACAACGCCTTTTATATCGGTGAGTTATTTTAATGGAACGGTCGATGTCCCGATATTTAAATTTATCGCTAATATCGGCCGATACCGATACCGTGCCGATAATATCGTGCGCCATTTTGGTCAAACCTTGTATGTTAAACCTCATGTAGTATTGTCAGATCTCATGTGTTAGTACTTAAAGTACGTGTTGAGGATAACTCTCAGCTACTACCAGACTAAACTTTAGCTCTGTAGCTGTAAAATGTACAGAGTTGCAGCCATTTTGTGTTGGATAATGCTTGAATTGGGTTGATTCCAAAATATGTACAGCCAACAATAACTTTTTGAGAGTTTAATTAAAATCAGTCCAGTGGTTCGTTAAATATTTCGCTAACAGACAGATGCTAACAGTTAATTCCAAAGTTTAAAGCAAAAATATATTACTGTGTGTATAATGATCAAAGTGTGTATCGGGGCTGATTCTCAGCTACAACCAGACCCAACTGTAGCTCAGTTTCTGAAATAATGACCGAACTGCAGCCATTTGTGTGTTTTCTAAGATCACTTGGCTGTGGCGGCCATCTTTAAAGAATTAATGAGTTGTGGATGTACGTCCAATAATTATTTTGTGAGAATTTCATTAAGATCCATGTGATGGTTGATGAGATATTTTGCTAACAGACATGTAGCGTTTACTGTAATAATCAAGGGCAAGGTTTAAAAAATACATTAGTCAGTGAAAGCTCAGCTCTTAACAAACCAATTGTTAGCACAATAACTGTAAAATTGACTAGATTATAGCTGTCCTTGAGTTTTCCAGTTGGCTGTGGTGGCCATTTTGACCAGGATCTTCTCCTAAAGTTAATCCAGTGCAGAGGTTCATCCACGGATTATTTCTTGGGGAACTCATTAAAATATGCCCAGTGGCTCGTGAGATATTCTGCTAACACACAGGCAAACAAGCACAAACCCTCGTGCTTGAAGATGTAGAACACGATTAACTGTGCGCGTTCACAGGAGCGCGGCGGCGGCGGCACGTCTCAAGTTCAAACAGCTCCCGCGTCCGCCGCGCGGCACGACGCGCGCCGCTCCAAACTTCCAGGCAGCGAAGCGGCAAAATGTGAAGGCGCGCGAGCTCGCTGCACGCACAGGCGCTCTTTAGGGTGCGCGCGCTCGTTCAGGGAGACTGGGGGAGCCGCTGAGCCGTCTGCTCCTCTCGCACCTTTTGTGCACGAAGCGACCTGCGTGACGGGACCAGCAGACCGTGCGGTGACAACAAGCGGCAGAACGAGGTTCTGCGGGACACTTCTGCAGCCACGAGGCTTAATTAGAGGGGAAATATCAATATGAGCCGAGCGCGTGCCGGTGCCGTGCGTGTAGCTTTTAAACACTGATCATTAATTGAGCAGCGCGCGTGCACCGAGCCGCTCGGACGTGTTTGGAAATGATAAGTTGCTCACCTTTCCCGCCGCCTCGTCCTGCAGTGCGCTGTCCGCAAGTCTGTCAGCGCACGGAGGTGCCGGCGCGGTCTCCTCCCGCGCCTCCCCCCTCAGCGGGAGAGTGATGTTCCCGCAGCGCGTCCTGCGCAGCCTGCCCCTCGACACCTCCCTCTCCATGACCACCTTGACTTTGCCTCGGGTCAGCGTCTCCTCCTGGCTGCCCAGGATCTCCTTCAAGCCCAGCGGCTTCATGTGGCCTTTGGAGGCGGCGGAGGAGGAGGAGGAGGCGCCCCCCCGGAGGCTCCTCTCGGACAGGCTGCGAACAGAAGCCACCAGTCTGTCCCCCAGGTCTGAGTTGGCGCGGCCGCCTCCTCCCGCCACGCGAAGTTTGGGCTTGACAGAGACCGTCTCCATCTGCGCCGGGGGCTGGGGGGGGCTGCCGCTCCCAGAGGAAGTTTTCTTCTCAGCTCCGGACAAGTCGGGCTGTTCACGGGCTCCGCTCGGTGCTCTCGTGCTGTGCGCGCCGCGCTCCGGGCAGCCCCCCTCTCCCTGCTGTCCTAATCCCTCGTCGCTCCGCGCACTTGCTTTCTCCTCCTGCACGCAGCCGCTCCCCACCGCGCAGCTCGTTGTTGCGCCACAGCCGAGGCACGCGCTGCTCGGGCTGCAGGCGGGCTTCGGCTTCAGCCTCTCGCCGGGGCTGCAGGCTGATGTGTGCGCGCTCAGACCTGGGCTGGGCTCCGAGTCCTCCTCCTGCTCGGTGAAGCTGTCGCCGTTGTTGTTCGGATGTTCGGTTCCCTCCCTCGGCGCATCCGCGCCGCCAGCGGCCGCGAACTCACTCTTCTTTCTGCTTTTCCTCTGCACCTTGGCCGCGTTCCGGTACGAGATGGACCCCTTGTAGCTAACTTTGAGCACCGTCTGCTCTTGGATGAGTTTCTCCAGCTCCGTCCTGGTTCGGTCCGGGTCTGACCCGTGTCGCCTCCGGACCATTCGACAAATCCTCTCCAGGTCCGGACGGGCTTTCCTCGAACGGAGAGAGTCGATAGTTTCTAGGATCCACTCCCGGTACTTGTTGGGCTCGGACATCTTCTCCTGTGGGTGCGGACGGGGTTCGGCCCGGGTGCGTCTCTTCCCTCCTCCACCTCCTTCTCCTCCTCCTCCTCCTTGTTGTTTCTCAAGTGACGCTGTGAAAGCTGCGAGCCAAAGTGCGATCCCCAGCTGGAGAGTGAGGACGGAAGCCCGGCTGGTCCCCTCGCGTTCGTTGTTGGCCACATTGTGCGCTTAAGGTGGACCGAAGATGGCGCCTAGGTCTCCCGCACACACGCAAACTGGATTTAAGGTGGAATCGTGTCGAAAGCCGCTCTCTTTGTTCGCAGAATCGAGCCACGGTCCACAGCAGATGGTTTTGAACACAAAAGAAACTGTTTTCAGCGGCGGAACTAGATTTTTTTTTTAGGGGGGCGCCAACAATTTCATGCTGCTTTTGGACGCATCCAGGTTATTTGTGTATAAATATGAAATATTACGTTAAACATTTAACTGAGTGCTGTTTGATGACAATTTTATTATTTCGCCCCAAGATTCAATTAAAACTCACAATTAATTATTTTTGGTAAATAAGTGAATTCACACACGTTTGTATTTCTATTCTTGTAAGGACATCGTATTGATTTCTGCAGCCTAAAGCGAACCATTACATCAGTTCAAATCAATTTATTTAAATCGCCCCAAATTCACAACAAACATCACTTCAAGGTGCAAAAACATTCACATATATTATAAAATGACAAATAAAAAAATAATAGGAAGATGATCGTGAATTTTCACTCCCTCACAGTTCATGGGGTAAGGAGGCGAACAAAAAACATGTTTACAAATAAAAAGGTGTGAATAATATTTGATAGTTGTGCTTCTTGGAAATTTTGTAAAAATTCTTGATTTATACAAATCATTTACAAACTTGTGCTATTTTCTCTGAGAGAACACAGCCTAAAAAAACATGTCTACACACAAACCTCAAGTTTGTATTTTTTTCAGTATCCAAAGAAAAGTGGCTGTGAATTTCTGTTATTGAGGATATGAATTTAACCTTGATAATATGTATCATGTGCTGCTGTTGTTGGGCGTATTCTTGTTGTACTGTTGGTGTTTGGTGTATTCTTGGTTCGGCGTATTTCTCTTAGATCTTATTACTGTTTTTCTTTACAATTTATACTGTTGTTGGACGTAAATGGGACCCTGTTTACACAATTTCGTTCCACCGCATGTATGTTCTAGAATTGCGCCGCTCGGGGTGGCTGCATGTTGGAGTAGCTCTCATCCATTCATTCCGAGATTTCGCTTTTGAAAACTTTAATTACTCTTTTTTAATGTAAATCGCTTTTTTGGATGACTACTTCATCTGGTATCAGACGCTGTGCAGTAGGAAGGATTTTTAATGAAACATTGTTTTACTTTTGGATATTTGTTATGGTGCGTAACCATAACAACAAGGTTTTTTTTTTTTTTTTTTTACAACTGGGAGCATCTCAAAAGCTAAAACAAAAATACCTCAACTACAGCACCAAGTCCCAAATGAGCTGAAAAGGTGGTGCCGTAGATGCATTCCCGTCTACCTGGAGGTGGTGCTTGTGTGCCTGACCACTGGGATCCCGGAGGTAGCGGGAAATGCGGCTCGTGAAAGCGGGAGGACCGAGATCATCCCCTGGCACCTGCAGTTAAGTCTGCGGCGACGAGGGGCTCGGCAGGCTGCTGGGACAAATGTCCATCGCTCGAGGAGGAGTTCTGCACGGAGTTCAGGCAGTCCTGCTGCCCAAGCGGTGCTGGGTCTGGGTGGACGGATCAGCATCTGCAGCCAGTTTCTTCTGATCCGCTGTGGGACAGACTGCTACAAGAGATCTTTCCTGCCCAAAGCCATCAGCATCTAGAACAACTCTAATGAAACCAGGATGATGAGCTACAACAACAATTAATTTCACTTTGGGATTAATAAAGTTTTTTTGAACTGTACCACATGTGGTACAAATGACAATAAAGAAACTTTGATGTTACGGTGTCACAGACTTATTTGTGTGTTTTTTTTTTTCTTCATCTTACCAGTGCCAAGATGATGGAGAAACACCAGAACGAAATCAGGTAATATTAAACAGTTCGTCTACAGCCAATTAAAAACACAATATAATAAAATAAACATTTTTAGGCTGAAAAGGTGCATGCATGCCTGTGACCCCATGACATATGCTAATGCATTGTGAATTTGTGTTTTCACTTTCCTGTGTAATCACAAAGTAAAAAAACACAAGCTTGAGCTTTTCATATAAAAATTAGTAGTTTATAGAAGTTGTAACTTTTTCAACTGCATTCTTACGGAGAAAACACACTACAAGTTTTTAAATGATTTAAATTCCAACAGTTCACCAATTTTTAGTAATGTGCAACTGTTGACTAATACACACACATTTTTAATAGCATCCTTAACCCATGTTGTCGAAAAACTCAGTTTCTGAATATTTTCTTTAAAGCAGTCTGACTTTTAACCTACTGCTCCATTATACATTGGTATAGACATAAAATATACTATAACATGTCATGAACCAGAGGCCGGATCGCAAACAACAACAACAACCACTGAGAGGGTTAAAAGATTTATTGTGAAATAAAGTAAAACTCTGGAGTAGGTCCGGTTCTGGGCTGGTTCCGATCTTCTGATTGGTAGTTCGAGATTGGGTAGTGTTGTAGTGGCGGGCTGCCAGTAGAAGTAGAACTGATGTTAAGGTCCACTGGAACGGAGTCCAACAGGCTTACAACTAAAAGATAAAGGTTAGTAGATGCAGGGGGAAAAAGACTAATTGGGGAAATGAATCTGTGGGAATCAGATTCAGGGGTAAGGATAAGTCCGTGATACAGAATGAGCTTGACCTTTAATCCGTGATCCAAAAAACAGTCAGAAGGGAAAGGCAGAGTTCATACCGTGAAGTCAGTTGTTCAGCAGAAGTATCCAGTACGTGATCCAAAAAGAGAGTCAAAAAACAAGAGCATGAGTCGGTACCTGATCAGATGAGCAAAAGCAGACGAGGGCTGAGGCAAAAGCGTGGTCGTGGTCAAGGCAAGGGTCATGAACGTGATGAGTCAATCAATGGAATGCTGGAAAGTCTACTGCTGATGAGACAGGATAGAGAATCTGGCCCAGACTGAGAGGAATGAGTGAGCTTAAGTACTGACTGGACCAGGTGGTGGAGTTGTGGGATAATGAGCGGTGACAGGTGACATGAGTTGAGTGATTACTGAGTGTGCAGCATGACAGAGGAGCTGACAGAGAGCAGAGCTATGACAATAACATACATAACTTCTTAATATTACCTGTAGCCTAAGGGCAAAATTGTAATGCCACGTGCTGCAACATGAGCCAACGCCCCCACTGAATGTGCACAAGGTAGCTAGCTCAATAAATCAGGTTCTATGTTAGCAGAGCTACAAGCAGCTAACTGGCTAACGTCGAGTTTGAAAAGAAATGCATAAAAGAGATTAAAGAAATGAACACGATCATTTATTAAGAAAGAGGCAATGTGTTTAGCTTTGATCTGGTAATGAAATGGAAACTGTCCCCTACCAATCCAGGGGTCTTGAAACTGTTTCGGCAGGTGACATTTCAGGTCCAGTTGGGTCGTAAATTTTAAAAATGTACGAAAAGTGAAATCAGCAAGTTTTAACATTATATTAATTGACTTACAAATAAAATGGCAGTACATTATTGTGCGGAAGCAGCTGCCACCCTGTGCCACTCCTTAGAGCCACCACTGTTTGTTTTAAACAGGGATGCATCGCCCCGGGGGTCGAAACTTCCCGTGCACGATTAAAATTTCAACACCAGTTCATTATTTTACAGTAAAAACACATGACTTCAATAGAATTTTACAAGTAAAACTTTATTGGAATGATACTCATGTTGCAAAATATTACACTTCGAGTTTTTGTTTTTTATTTATTTATATTTTTTTTACTGTTTTTGTTTGTTAGGTTGTTTATTTTTTTGTCACTGTTCCCACGACTTTAGACGCAACCGTTTGCGGCCATTTGTCTCGCGAGTGTTTGTGGCAGGGGTTAACATGGTATACACTGGGGTCTCATTTCCCGAAAAAGTGCGACAGTAGAATATGTGTACCAGCAATTTTTGTGCCTGTATCAAGTGGAAGTTGCATACTGGGAAAAAAAAAAAAAAAAACTAAATAGATAAATAAACAGAGAGACATAATACAACATAATATCATCATAAACCCAAACATCGTCTGCAGAATGATCAATACTGAACCTGATATGAAGGAAATATGAACAAGAAATGTAAACAACGTCCTGATATTGTCTGTGAATTAGTCCAGCTGGAGACTAACAAGGCAGTCTGCAGCTTTATCCCTCTCTGCAGCTCTACCCATTTCTGCAGCTCTATCCCTCTCTGCAGCTCCATCCCTCTCTGTAGCTCCATCCCTCTCTGTCGCTCCATCCCTCTCTGTAGCTACATCCCTCGCTGCAGCTCCACGCCTCTCTGCAGCTCTACCCATCTTTTGTAGCTCCATCCCTCTCTGCAGCTCTATCCATCTTTGTAGCTCGATCCCACTCTGCAGCTCTGCCCCTCTCTGTAGCGCCATCCCTCTCTGCAGTTCTATCCATCTTTGCAGCTCCATCCCTCTCTGTAGCTCCATCCCTCTCTGAAGCTCTATCCCTCTCTG